CAAGTAATTTTATCGACCTTTTTCTCATGATACACAACAAACTGAACTTCCAGAATTCAAATTTGAAAAATCTAGCGGATGAAGAAGATGGATTGCCACTTAGGGAGACTTTAAAAGAAGTACTTATGGAACGTCCAAAGTTCCATGCTGCGACTTTCCTGAAGGAAAAGAACAAACCTCTGGTGTTTTAGAAAAGAATAAACTCTACAAAATGGATACAGAGTTTACTGAAAAGCACTATCACCGAAGCTCTCCTTCTTGTTTACAACCTGAGATCCTGTGCAACATGGAGAATGTGAAATCGAAGTCCAAACAAGTATTTTTCCAGGGAGAATCAAGTAAAGCTCGGCAATCCCTTTCCTTTTCCTCCTCAAATGAGTCTGATCTCACGCACAATGAACTGAGGCAGGATATTGTCAAGTTCTCAAACGTGGCAAGGCATGTTAATTTGGATGAGAGGCTGAAATCCCTGAAAGTTGATGAAAAGTGAAGCTTATGCATGTTTGTTTGCCAAATTTTTGGGAGAGCCTGAGCTGATCAAGGCCATCACCAGATAAACGACATTATCAAATGATAGGAGAACGAAATGACAATGATAACGACTATCTGGTTTGAAGAATATTGCAATGACAATGATAACACGATTTGGAAGATGTAAATGAGTTCATTAATGAAGATGATGGTGATGTGGAGGGTGTGATGGTGGATGATTGGGATCGCCAAGTTGGGCAAGAGGACTTGGAAAATCTGAAGTTGGAAGCCCTGGTCAATGAACAGTGCAACAACCACCTCAATGAAGAGATCCAAGAGAGTGAGGACAACATGGGTCCAGAGGAAACAAATGTTGTAAAATGAAAACTCTTTGCTGAAATGTTCGAGGGGCTGGAAGGCCCAAATTTTGTTGTCATGTTCTGGACCTTTTGAATCTTCACAAACCTGAAATTTGCTGCTTTCTAGAAACTAGAGTGAATCCTAGTAGAACAAAAAAAAAAAAAAAAATTATCAGCTCGTTTTCTCATTTTAATGATCATTTTGTTGTTAATTCGGTTGGCTTTTCTGGGGGTTTATGGGTTATATGGGACAAGAACAAATGTAACATTGACATAATTTTATCTAATGAAAGAATTGTTCACACCCTCATCACTGATTTATCAATCCAGAAGTCATATCTTTGTACCTTTGTATACGCTCCCCCAACTAAAGCAAATCAAAGAGTGGTATGGGATTGGTTGAAAGGTATTACTGAGAACACGAGTAGAGAATGGTGCCTAATCAGGGATTTCAACGCTTTTCGTTCCAGTGATGATAAATGGGGAGGAAGAGTGGTTTCTCCTTCACAGACAAGAGATTTCAACAACCTAATCAGTGACTGCAATCTCATGGACTTGAACATGATTGGTAACAAATTCACATGGAGAAAAAACCTCACTTGGGAGCGACTTGACTGGGTTCTTGTGAACGATGAATGGAGAAGAGAGTTTGTTGATGCAACTCTTTCAAATCTCCCCTTCCTATCGTCTGATCACTCTCCTATTCTCCTCTCTACTGAGTTGACTGTCCAAAGTGGCCCTAAACCCTTTAGATTCGAAGCCATGTGGTGTGAGGACCCAAAACTTGTTGATGCCATCTCTCAACCGTGGAACTTGAATGTTAGAGGATCTAGAACCCTCCAATATAAAAAAGAGAATATTTTGGTAAAAAAACTTAAAAAATGGAACAAAGATCACTATATACGGTAACATGTTTGCAAAAAAGAGAGAGCTTCTTCAGAGACTCGGTGAAGTACAAGGTAAGTTCATAGAGAATCCAAGTGACAGAGCCGCTATTTTATTGAAGGCTCCAAGAGAAAAGTATCAAAATCGATTTTGACGCCTCCAAAAATGACAGAGAATGTGCTCTTGGGTGCATTGCTAGAAATCATGTTGAAAATGTTCTTGAGGATAAAGCATACTTTATTGGCATGTCTACAATCAATGTGGTTGAAGCTCACAACATTGCCCTTAACTATAGAAATCTTCCCATAAGCATTGAAGGAGACTTGCTACCGGTGATTTCGTGCTTAAAAACAAAGTCGACATCCCATGGAGATTGAAAACCATCGTTGGGACTATTTGAAGCTGGTTGACTGCTTGGATCACGGAGTAACTTACACACCTATAGGGAAGCTAATCAAGCTGTGGATTGGTTGGTGCATCAAGCCCTCTTGTCTTCCCCCAACCCCCTCAACTTTTTTACTTTTTCCCTCCCTAAGGATTTATTGTTCATTTCTTTTAGTGATTCCTGGGGCTGAGCTACTCCCCACCTTGTGTAGTTCCTCCTGCTTCTTACCAAAAAAACAAGGAATTGTACTTATACTTAGATCAAATGTTTTATTTAACCAAGAAAAGTGAAGTTTAGATACAAGTACTTGACCCACTCCAAAGATGAAATCAAATGTTAGCCCTACTAAACAACCCTCCCCATCAACATTGAAAACCAACTAGTTAGACCATTTACACTTTTAATTCAGGGGGTAATGTCCCAAAATCAAAGATGAGAGAACTCATTCACCTATGGGCCCATCTGAACAATATGTTCATATCATTGTCCAAGCATTGGTTTTCTTTTTTTTTTTTCTTCAAAAAAAAAAAAAGAAGGGAAGGAGATTGGGTAGAACTAACTCTACCCCTATTTAAGCCTTCAATTCGGTTGTGACCCAACCTAATAATTCACCTAGTAAACTTGACCCAGTCCTATTTTAACTTGTTAATTGTAAGTTGCAGAAGCAACAAAGCAAATAAAATCTGAAAATAAGCATTCGTGGTGATTAGGTTCTATTCACGTCACTCTAAGGGGACGTTCTTTTTTGAGATTTTGAGAGAGGGGAAAGTTGGTCAATGGGATTTTGGTTCCCATTGACCAAGAATCCCATGTTCTTTTTTCATATTTATGTGGGGATCAGGGAAAGTTTATTTTGATACCCATCCCCTAGGTTGGTAAATAACTTTCCCACCTAGAGGAAAAATTGACAACACTTGAATGGGACAAAAATGTTACTCTTAATAATGGATTTTATGACTAAAATGGTCATTGCATTACTTACCTGGAAAATAAAAGAACATGGATAAATGCACTTACCCGGGTAAATGTTTCCCAACAAAAATTACCCAGGTAATTGCATTTACCCGGGTAAATAACTTACCAAAAAGCGAACAAGGCCTAACAGTAATAAGAGCAAATATATAGAGAACAAAGATATTAAAAATCAAAAATCAAAACTTAAAAAACTTTTCTTGATTATTGGTTTCAAAAACATCCAATAAATTAATAAACCTAACTACATTAGATAAAGCTCAACTTTGGACTCCTAGTTACACCCAACCAGCCATTGAAGAGAGAGAGAGAGAACAAAAAAAAAAAAAAAAACATAACAAATAAAGAATGAAGGAAGAGAGGCCACTTCTCTATTTAAGCTTCAAATATGGCACTAATCAACCGATCACAGATGACGAAGAAGAAAGTATTCTGCCCATAGCTTCAGTACACAGGTAAGCCTCAGACAACAAAGCCAAAGTTGGACTCATGGAAAAAAGTATAAGATATCTCACTATTATCCTCAACTTATGTTCCAGAAACTGAATCAGATATTTGAGCTTCAAATATGGCATTGACTGACGAATCTGATCGATCACAGGTGAGTCTTGGTTGATCATTCCCATGGCTGCCAATGGTCTGTGGAAGTCTAGTCACCGAGGCTGTAACAAATAGCATTTCAGAAATTGAAGTAAACACTATTCCCTAATTCCCCTAATAGACTTGTTATAATGTCTAGGACATTCGTTACATGGAGAGCTAGGTTTGAGAGCGATAACAAAATAGAAAATAGAAGGGAATGCTGTGGGATAGTGGGAGAGAATAAAAAGTAAGTATATACGAGGTTTATGATATCTAAGCTATTACATAGAGATTTAAGAGTAGGATCATAAATAGATGAGGTGAGAGATGAATAAAACTTCTTGGGTACTCGTATCCTTAAAAGTCAACAATGCCCCCTCAACATTAATAGTGTGGAATCACTCATGATTCCTTAATAAGGATAAATAAGTAATTCTGATAAAACTTCTACAGGTCTCCACTTTTGATTTTAAATAGAAAATCATGTATCGTTTAAACATACAACCTTGTCATGTCTTGATACTTTCATTTTGATAATATTTCTGTTTAATTTATTAGCCGTAATCTATTTTTTTAAGTGATTCATAATCTAAACTAATATCCTTATGACAAGATTCGAATCCAAATATTAACAATCAAATTTCGATCTCGATCCCATCCGATTCAAGCCCTAAATTCTGCTACCCTTTTTAGGCAAACTAAAGTGTATTTTTGTCTATTAACACATGACAATGGGCCCGGTGCCCAAATTACTTCCTTATAAAGTCATCTAATCCAAGGTTTTTAAAACCGAGTCGATAATGGTCAGGGGTTTGGTTCTTAGTCGAATGGTCCGATCGTTTCAATTGAGTAGATGGTCCATTCTCACAAAAAATAAAAAATTTAAAAAATCGTCTAAACTGTTGAGTGGTTCGAACAATTCAACCATCCTAATCAACGATTTTTGGAGAAATAACAGTTCTGGGTAAAACAGACATAACCGGCTCCCGGTTTTCTGGACCGACCTTCCGGTCTGGTCCGGTTTTGAAAACCATGATCTAATCATTTACCAAAAAAATGTCATCTAATCTTATCGTACAAAATTCGTGCTGGGCATCTCACGGTTCCAATTGATTCAGAGTGGCTCTTCCCACTTCCCACTCGGTAAAAGAATTTGATTCCATGAGCTGTCTTCTTCATCAAGAGAGCCACATGAGCCATCCGATTGGATTAAGCAGTGGCTCCAATATACCACTTAATTCCAATCCGATGGTTGAGATGCTATCAATTTCCCCCCGTGATCATATTCTATTGAAAATTTATGGTCCGTGATGCCACCATGGAGAAGACAGCTGTAAAGGAGCGCCCGCAACTCTGTTGGTAGATCCATCACCTCAAAGAGTTAAGCCAATCCCATCTTCAGCCTGAGAGCTGAGAGTTCGGATTTGTTCTTTCTTCCATCAACTACTCCTCCGATTGTTTCAGAGTCATAGTTCTTCTTCTCCATTTGCTTTCGTAGATTGTTTCTTCTGGGAGAGTAGAAACAATGGACGTGTTGCGGAAGCAAGCGAGCAAGCTCAAAGAGCAAGTCGCCAAGCAGCAGCAGGTGCCTATCCTTTCCCGGCTTTTATTTTCTCTTGTTTTCCTTCAGATGTTATCTCTGCAGAAGCACAGATATAACCCAATTCGATAAACACATTTCGCTGCTTGGATCTTCTTCAATTATCGGCATAATCTGCTATTTTGACTCCTGTGTTGGTAGAGTTCTTATCTGAATTGGAATAAGTGAACTTAGTAGGAAACTCTGCATGGGTGCATGGGAAATATGCAAACTTAGAATGTGGGTTTATGAATTTGTAATAATAAATCAGCGCCGATATGGGCTTAGGCTGCAGATTGTAGACACCAAGAACTCAGTAGAATCTTTGTATCAGATCAGTTTGGGAGTCGCTATTTGATTGGTACAATATAGAAGGCTTATTTGAAGAAGAGCTCATTGCAATCTGATGATTGCAACGATATCCAATCTAGTGCAACAGGAATCGGTAAACAATGTGGTTGGGAATTGGGAATTTTGAAGTTTGAACAATGTTCAGGCAATTTTTATCAATTTGATAAGCTAAGGGAATCCTTAATCCATCTCTATAGGTGTACTTTCTATTGGGAGTTCTCACAACATCAAGATTTATAAATATCACGAGAGATCTATCAGTTTTAGCATTTCGATTGTAGAATTTGGTAGGTAATTAATTTCTATTAAGCCTATTTCATAATAGAAGAATATGTTGGAATGAATAAATCTGTAATGATAGAATGCCGCTAATAAAGTTTAGTAGTTAGTACTTTCTGTCAAATCTGCAAATATTTCTTATTTGTACACTATCTTTTTAAAATCACTGAAAGATCGTAATTTAATGCTTTATAGTACTAGAAGCATAAGGCATCAAATCGTACCATCTGTAACCATTGAAAGGCTCAAGTCATATTTTCTTGAAAAGAAATTTGCAGATTCTTTGTGTTTAAGTGAATTCATATAACCACCACCATCTATATCAAAGAAAAAGATATCACTTGGTCACAAATTTAAGGTTTAAGTTTGTATATTTAATTTGAGTAAATATATTAACTAAACAAAGAAAAGTTACTAATGGAAAGCCAAAACTGGAAAAGAATTAAGTAGAAAGGAGCCAGGCTTGGAAAACATGACAATATGTATTATTAGTATCAAGCCAATATGGGCATGACATATACCTGCACTTTCCTGGGCTTTATGGTTATTTTCTGATATAAGCTTGTATTCACGTATTGATATTCTTAGCTGATGTGTGCTTACTAACCACCAAAATATTTACAAATGTGATCACAGTTTCTAGATCCCCTGAATTTTTTTTTTCTTTCATTTAATCAAGTGCTGCTTAGGTAGTTTTCTTTTGTCATGAAGAGTCACAATTGATGGCAATTTTTGCTGATATATCTTGGTTTTTGAGTTTCAGGCGGTAATAAAGCAATTCAGTGGGACTGGCTATGAACGTTCTGATATAATGGTTACAGATGAGGTTGAAATGCAGAGGCATCAACAACTAGAGAAACTGTATAAATCTACTCGTGCAGGCAGGGTAAAGATGGTTTATTTAATGATTATGCCTCACTTAATTTGCAAATTTAAAAATTGTTAACTATAAAATAATTGTTTATATCCCATTTGAAAAATGTTTATATCAAATAGAACAAGATACTGTAATAGTTCATTTTTCAAAAAAGATACTATAATAGTTAGGATATTATGATGGCGGTTTCCAGTTAAACATAATTGTTAGCTCTTGTCCTATGAGATATTTATTATATGTTATATGTTAAACATAACAAGGCCAAAAGAGATTAAAAAAGTTGCAGTATTAACTAATGGAGATCAGACTTATAAGACCACTATGACTTTGTCTTTTTTAATTTCTTTCTTTTGTTTTTGNGTGGGTGGGACAAGTAACTGAATATGAATTTTTTTTATGAATAACTGAATATGAATTTTGATAAATAACAAAATTCTGAACAGGCCCATATGACCAAACTTTCAGCTTTCTAGATTTGCTCTACAGAAAATGGAATTGGAACCTAAAAGTCAATCCACTTGCTTTGTACAAAAACAGAGAGAGACACCGTTAAAAACTTTATACTTGAGAGAGAATGCAGTTAAAGTGATGGCAGACCTTAGACAATGGGCCTGTTACTTGAGCTTGTGGTGAATGCCTTCGACATTCAAGGCTTTATTTTTTTCGTATAAAATAAATGTCAGCCAAGTTCTATTCCTTGGAGATAATATTTCAGAAGCTGACAACATAAATATTTTGGGCATTAACTGCTAACCCAAATTCTATTCCTGAACTCATGCTTGACCACAATCACTCTCTGCTACTAGCTGTCAGGGTGCTCAGTGCACCTCCATAGCCATTTAACTAGGAAAGCTTTGTTCATTAGAAGGGCAGCCAACCCACTGATGTCTGTAGGTGCTAAACCTTTGGCAATAAACAGCACCACCAAAAATCTATTTTATCTTTTGTGGCCATTCTATGGAAAGTGTAAAGGAAGTTTGATTGGATTTCCCAAGTTAGAGTTGCTTACCTCTATTTTTTTCCTTCTAACGATAAGGGTTCATTAAAATAAAGAAATGAACATCTCTCTCTCTCTCTCTCCACCTGCAAAACAAACCCACTGCTATCTTCAATGATCAATCTTTTGTTTAACTAAGTAGTTTCATCCGACAGGCAATCCTTGTTATCATCTACTTGCTCCTCACCTGCCCCAACCTTGTGGCCCATGAGATCTATATCTTCATCATCTACCACTCTTGGATTCTATATGATTGGATGTGTGTTACGTGTCATATTTAGTGGGCTGTATTGGGGCCCACCAGGGCCATATTTGTTGGGTTAGGTAATTTGTCATCACATTGCTAGTTGTTATCCTTATCTTATTATTAGTCTGTTAGTGTTAATCAATCATTGGGGATTTAGTGGGTTCCATGGCATTTAGGGGATTATGTGGTATTGTTGAAGTAGTCAAGAACGTGGGTCCTTGTTCAATTGGCCATAGTTCATATATTTAAGTTGTATTTTAGGAGTTAAATGAAAATATTGGAACTTATCTCAAATTGGATTCTTGTTAGACTTTGGAGGTCTAGAATGCTGGGTTTCCTCGAATTAACCTAGCCTACATTCTTCTCTTTTCGAACACTAAGAGAGGAATGTACCAATTACCAAATGGTATCAGAGCTGACAATATAAATATATCCCTGTTTTGAGCACTGACTTGTTCAACTGCAAGGAAAGGTCCAGATATTGGCAATGAACCAAGAGAAGATAGGGGAGAGAATGACCCAAATGTTTGAGTCCATCTCTACTCGTCTCGATCAACTTGAAGCTTCCCATCCACCATGCAGGTTCTATGGAGATCAACCATAGTGAGAACCATGTGATTGAACCATTAGTTCCCACCTCGCGTCCTTGCCAAGAACAACTTGATGAGTTTCTCTAGTATCTCTAGTTTCTCTCATTCAAAAGTCTCAGTCCCAGTTATGGTGGCTCTTAACTATGATGATCATGGAGAAGAAGATTAGAAGATAGGCACAATGGAGAGCCTAGCTAAAATCTCCATTGCCGTATCCACCAAAGAGACCACCGAAGCCATCTCCGATGAAGTGAAGGAGCATCTCCAGTGGTTCGAGGATCAAAAGGTGGCTTTTGGTGCTGCTGTAGAGACCGTAATCAAATTGAAACAACATTTGGACAATGAGGTGACGATAGCAACGTTGAAGCCGTTGAGAGTGGTGAGAATGTGGCAACGGAAGGGAAGAAATCCAAACCAGGAGGAGCAATGGAAAGAAGGTTGACCTTGGATAAATGGAAGAAGCTTTCATCCATGTAGTCCTTAATACGGATCTTCACACGAAGTAGGTCCAAGATATTCCTCCATTGCAGCAACAATCAGCCACGACTCTGCTACTCTTCCTCGTCCATTAAGTTGAAGTGGATTGTTTTTGGATCTACGGACTTCACCCTCCATTCTACTTGTTATTTGCAAGATACCTCATCCACCTATTTCCCTTATTACAGAATTTCACATCTTGTTTCATACCTGCCATCTTGTTTCCTGGCATCATAGAAAATTCTCCAAAAATGTTGAGGGTGAAGACCATACAGGGAATGATACTTGACTTTGACAACAACTAGGATGATGAAAGTCAAAGCAATCGTGGAGGTTCAGATGCCAACCGGGTCAAATGGGTCGATGGTCCGACCGCCTGGGTCAATGGTGGTTCGAAAATGTTGGTGAAGGATAATCTTGGTGAGTGAGAGAGGGTAGTGATAATAAAACTGGTGTTATGATTTCCCCTGGTTACCTAAATGTAAAGATGATGTCCATCAAATTAAGTGGTGAGAATTATGTGCCATGGGCTAAGTCGGTGGAAGTGTTTCTGAGAGCCAAGAAGAAGGTAAAACATGTGAAGGAGGAGAAACCCTCATTTGAATCTCATGGGTATAGTGAGTGGGAATAGGAGGATTGGTTGTGGAATAGCGTGGAGCCTAGAATTAGTGTGAATTTTATGTTCTTGGATGCAACCAAGGAGATTTGGGACCATGCTAAGAAACTTTATTCTGGCCAAGATAATAATACACCAGGGTATACTAACTTTTTTAGGTGTACTTTAATATGAAGTAGGGAAATCAGAGCCTAGAGGAGTATTATGCTAGTATGCGAAACCTTCATAATGAGCTTAATGTGTATCACCCATTGACTCCAAATGTTAAGATTCAGCAACACAATAGGAACAACTTGATGGGACATGGTTTTTAGTGGGATTGAAATTTGAATACAAACCTGTTAGGGCACAAATACTAGGCAAGTATGCTCTTCTCTCTCTTGAGGAGGTGTTTGCCCGACTTTAAAGGATTTCTATTGAACCTTCGGAGCATTCTACCCTCTTTGACAAGTTTGTTTTTGTGGTTGTGAGAGGGGGAGGTCGTGGGAATAGAGGTGGTGGAGGTGGACATGGACTTCTAGGGTACCGAGGTGGTCCTATGTTTAATTGTACTAGTGGACGAGGTGGAGGTCGTGGTAGAGGACGGAGTATTGGTCCTAGGACATTTACATATTGTGGGTTAGAGGGACATATTGTCAACTTCTATTATGACTTGCATGGCCCAACCAATACTTGGGCCAATCATGTTGTGACTAGTGGTGGTGGTGTAGTTAGTGAGAACCAGTAAGCTGATCAAACACCTTCCACATCTAAAGGTGCTTCTGGGAAGCAAATGGTGAGTGTCCCGCATGATGAGTATGAGAAATTTCTTCAGACTTACTCTCAACACAACACAACTACCCTTGCTCACTCAGGTATGGTTTGCTTGGCATCCAAACCTTCACATTGGTTTATTGATTTTGGAGCCTCTGATCATATGAATGGAACTCCAAGTGTGTTTTCTTCTCTTTTCCAGTCTTCCACATCCCAAACAGTTACCCTAGCTAATGGTTTTACCTCTCCTATTTGTGGTGTTGGTGATGTTGACCTTACATCTTTATCTTTATCCTTTGTTTTATATGTACCCAAATTTCCCTCTAACCTCATGTTTGTTAGTAGATTGACTAAATCTCTTAATTGTTCTATCACATTTTACCCCTCTTCTTGTGTGTTTCAAGATCTCAAGATGGGGATGAAGATTAGTGAAGGGCATGAAGCTAGTGGATTGTATTATCATGATGGTGGTGGTTTGAAAGTAGCACTTCAATCTTCTTACTCCTATCCAGTGGCACTGTAGACCAATGTTTTAAAACACAGAGGCGTGAAGCGAGGCATTCCACTACCTAGAGGTGTGAGGCATAATTCAGAATGAAAGAGGTGTAAGCCTCCTTAAGAGGAGGGGGGTTAGGAGGAGGAAGGGGAGGAAGATGAAGAGGAAGGAGGGATCTCATTTTTTCTTTATTTTTAATAAAAATCTTTTATATTAAGAAGAATAAAGATGCATAACGTTAGTTGAAAGGGGGGATTGTTAGAGTCGAGAGCATAAGGGTAGTTTAGTCTTTTGTAATTTAATTAAAGGTGAGTTGTCTATTCTATCTGTGTTTAAGTTGCGTGTCCCATTTTTAATGAGGGTCATAATTGTCTTTTGTATTCTAATGCACAAACTATAAATAAAAGGTGGGTTGGCTGAGAGAGTGTGATCTTTTTCACTCTGGTCAAATCCTTTATTTCTCTCCTCTTTCCTTTCTCTTCTTCTTCTTCTTCTTCTTCTTCTTCTTCTCTCTTTCTTTCTTACTTCAGACCTAGGACTGAACCGATGTTAATTGAACCATTAACACAAGGCATCTACACTTGACATGAGTTAAAATGTATAGGGCTTTTTGGTGTTCTCATTGCCTAGAACAGAAAGAAATGTGTGGGCGTGAAGCAATGAATCTCTTGGACTACTTTGAATGCTTCCCAAAGGAATACAAGATAGGAACCAAAATGGCCAAGGCATGTTTGGATGTCAAGGTAAGTTTGTTATTGCTGTAGATGACAAAAATGGTGACATTGAAAGGAACCTCATCATGGCATCATCTCTTCCAAATACTCAGGCCATGGCATCTATAGTTAAGCATGAGCTGGGAATTGTATCCATAAGCATGGAAAAGGTGATCTGGAGATGCTAAGGCTTCTATTGATGTTGCCAGAAAGCAGAGATGAAGACTCATTTGCCCCAATTCCAAAAGAACATGGGTTTCCCAAACTACTCCCATCAAAGTTCAATTTCTTCCATCCTTCATTCGGGGGTGACCACACCTCAAGGATCTTTTGATTCCTTGAAGATGAGTCAGCTATTGACCTCCAATTCCTAAAGAAGTCATCCATTAAAGTTTCAAAGTCTCCACCCAGTGTGTCACCCTTGCTGTAATAATCTCAATATAAGTGCCTCCTTGTTTTTTCTTCCTTTTCCCCAAAAATCCTTGTATTCCTTTTCTCCCAAACTGTCCAAATCACAGCTGCCCTTGCACATTTCTACAATTATTTGCCTCTTCTTTTTGTGTTTCTCAGAAAAGGCAAGCTAAAGAGCCTATCCAAACTAACAGGAGGGATAACCTGCAACTAAAGAGAGAGCAAAACCATTCCCAAATACAGCAAACGAAGGGGCGGGAGATTAAGAGGTGGTAAGCAGTCTCACCATTCAATTAAAATGTTGGAGCTTATCTCAAATAAGTGGACTTTGGTGCAATGGTTGGGTTGCTCTTTGCGACCTGGGTGACCAGGGTTCAAATCTGGGAAACAGCCTCTCTGTACGTGCAGGGTAAGGCTGCATACATCTGTCCCTCAGACCCCACATTGGTGGGAGCCTCGTGCAGTGGGCTGTCTTTTTTTTATCTCAAATAAGTGGAGCATAGTTCATGTATTTAAGTTGTATTTTGGGAGTTAAATGAAAATATTGGAACTTATCTCAAATTGGACTCTTGTTAGAGTTGGAGGTCTTGGGTTTCCTTGAATTAACCCAGCCTACGTTCTTCTCTTTTCCTGCACCAAGAGAGTAATGTACCAATGTGTTTGATAAACCTTCTCTGAGCAACTGCATCATTTCCAGAACTCAAAATTTTATCCTTACATATACTATTAGCTCCATTATCACTGATTTTATGGATTTTCCTGCTAGGATAAATAGTTGTCCCACTCTTGCCATGTGTACATGTGTGGGAGAGGGGTACAGCTTGATGCAAAATCATTCTCCAGTTAACCACCAGGCAACCTATAACTGAACACACATACATTGCTGGCCTGCTGGGGATATGCATTTCATGCTTGTTTGACTCAAAGATGAATCTGTGCAGCCAAGAAGGTATTCCAAACATGCCAATAGGCTTGATTTTATGCAGTTTCCATGTAGATTTTGTCAAGCACTGAACTGATAAAAATAACAAATAATAATCCCCAAGCTATCGAAATGGTTGTTGGAGTTTACTCATTTGCAGTTAGTACCCCCATTAACAACTTGCCAACTGTGTATTAACTCATTGTCAAGGAGATAAGATGGATTCTGCTCCTCCAGGTTCATTCAGATGCTAGCCAGACAGTGGTCAATGGAAATCCAAATGGGACTTGTCCAGGATTCTTGGTTGGGAGAGATTTGGTTCTTATTTTGCTGATGTTCTGCAAAGATAATTGGACTTTGCAGACTTGCAGTTGCTTGACTGTAAATTTTAAGCGGATGGCTCTTCATGGGTTATGCATCTATTTTTGGTTTTTTCTAATTTAATTATTTTTTGGTAGTCATGTGATGAGATATAGTTATTTTGGTTTTTATTCCCTGGCAGGATGGAGAATATTATCACACTTATTTCTTTTTTAGGGGGGTGGGTTCTATAATTAACTAACAGCAATCTATGCAATAAATATTCCTTGGAAAAGCAAGAGTTAGGAAAAAATAGTTGGTTGTGATGTGATAGAGCAAGTATATTACATGTTCTTATCCTCATTAGTTTATGAATAGGAAGGTAGATTCTCTTGCTGACGAAAGCTCTCCTGGGCTTTGAAATTTAATTGTAAATATGTACTTTATTGATTGATGGTAAAGAATAAAATTATGTACAGGTTAAAAGTGCAGAGCACCCCAATACTCTAGATTGATCAATATAGATTCATTTATTTTTTATTAGTAAATATAGATGTGATTTCCTAGATAAAAATACTAGTAATGAGCTAATAAAGATTGAAAGTAACATTAATGCAATTTTGCTAATATTTGTTCCAAAAGAATTTTCTATGTTGCAAGTGTCCCTTGAGCCCCCAACCTTTCCTCTAAACATGAAGTTAGGTCTACATACCTTTTGTCTTGGATTTTTATCTTTGGTAGAACTTGTTTTGTATATTATTTTGATTTAAGAATTTCAAGATCCCCCATCTCTAGCTTGATTCCAAAGTTATATCTTGCTTAAGATTTTCTGTTGTTTCAGGATTTTCAAAAAGATGTTATTCGAGCTGCTGAAACATTTACAGCAATAGGATGTAAGCAAATTGAAGCAGGTGAGGATTCTAGTATATCCTCAGATCATAGTGATATGCTTTTGTTACTAAAAGTCACTGTATACATTGGGTATTTCTTTCCTTTTTACTTAGGGGCCATTTGATAATGGCTGGAGTTTCTGACACCAGAAGATAATGTAATCTAGTTAGAGACTACACTAACACAGCTAAAGGAACTTTACAACATAAACATTTTAGATAATAGGTGCCCAACATGTAGTCCATGTAGACATTTAAGTTCTTAAAGAAAGTATATCTGAATATTTACTTAATTTTAATGGTTTAACCATCTAACTTAGATATTGTTTTTCTAAGCTATCTATAAATGGTAAAAATGAACAGTTGAAATCATATTTCAAGTTGATCCCACTTTCTAATCCCGTCTGTCTTAATGCTGCAATTGGGACCGCTCGCATCTCTCTCACTCCCAAAGAGGTGGAGGAATTCGCCCCCAAGATTCGACAAGTCATAGATTGTGCAAATCGCAAAGTGTGATGACGGGAAAGTTAAGGAGAAGGGTGACAAGAGGCGACGAGAGGCGACAGGAAGTACGAAGATGAGAATGTCGGCGACGCGGAGGGAGAAATCCACAAGTTGGAAAATGGATTAGATTCTGGTTTCAATAAGATGCGGTTCAGAGGTGATTTAGGTGGCCTGGGTAGGAAGGGAGGCAGATGGGGGGTGGAGAACGGGCACAATCCGAACAAAAGAAGGCGAGGTTTGAAAGGGTTCCTCTCCTATAAAAGTGTGGTAGGTGTAGGGATTTGGCTTGGGTTTGGGGAGACGATCATTCGAAGGGAGGGGAATCAGCAATTTCTGGAAACGGAAAAAAGGGGGGTGGAAGCCAAGACAAAGTTTTTGAAGGACTGCTTAGTGGGGTGCTTCGAGAGGAAGGTGGGGGTGGTAGAAATAGAATTCGGCGGCAAGAAGTTGGGGGGAGGTGACAGGGGTGAGGATCAAAAAATTAATAGAAGACTGATACCTGTTTATCTTTCTCTCTAGGGAGGAGGCGGAATGGGTGTTGTACAATGGACCTTGGAGGCTAGGACAAATCTGACTGGCGATTGATTGGTGGGTAGATTCAGCAGGGTTCCTGCCGATAGAGAAGAACAGAGAGATACCTTGACCAAAGGAGACATGGATCAAGGTGTTTGGCCTTCCGTTGCAGCTTTGGTGTCCAAAAATAATAGAGGGAATAGGGAATATATGTGGGGCTTTTTTAGGGATAGACGATTCGGTGGAGGAGTTGAGAACCTGTGAATGGGTTCGCATCAAGGTTAGAACAGATGGAGAGGTGATGGAAAAGATTAAGATCGTGACAGGTGATTCCACGTTCTAGATCTAGATTTAGGAAGACTGGAAGAGAGAAGACCGGTGGTGGAGGAAAAGAAGAGATTAGAAGGGGAAGAGTACCTAGGGGAACTGAATCCTCTTGGAGAAGCTAGAGAAGAACTGGAGCAAGAGGTAAGCAGAATGGTAGTGCTAGAAGAGGAGGTGGAGGATAGCGGAGATAAGGGGTGGTTATCGGAGGGAAGGAAGAAAGAGGAAAGGAAGAGGGGACATTTGAGATCCGTGCCCGAGACGGGGTCAACTAGGGGGACTGGCTTGGAAAGTTAGCAATCCCTACCCCACCGTGCGATGGAACCGAGTATCAATGGTCAACAGGATAAGGAGATTCAAAATTTAAATAAGGTCCAAGGAGTGGGATTTTCGAAAGAAGCCTTAAAGGAAACTATTTTGGAGTGCTTAAAAGAATTGGAGTGGATGCCAACAAGGCAAGAACACCAAAGAGGGGGACCACTGAATTTGGCGAGCATAGTAGGAAGGACCTTTGGGGGTGGTTCGGGCAAAAGAGAACCAAGGAAAATTAGTGGGGAGACCAAATCCATCCCAGACGGTCCAAGCAATCAAATTGAAACCGAGACCTAGCTAGTTTCTCCGCAAGCCCTTCTGGGATCTTGGGAGGGTGAGCGATCCTGGCCACAGGGACTGAATTGGTTAGTCTCGACAGAGAAGATCTTCTCGGCAGATAGGGATAACTGTGCTCGATTGAAGACTGGTGTGGAATGGAGATGCTCAAGAGACCTATAAAGCGCTTCCTAGAGTCTCCAACACCTCAATGGTGTTGGGGGAGGATGTCCAAGCAGCTGAGGCGACGACGGAGATAGGTTTAGAGGACTCAAATCCAGAAGAAATAACCCCATTGACCATAATTGAAGTTAGAGAGGAATCTACCCCACAGTTCAATCAGTTGGCTGAAATCCCAATCTATCAGGTGCACAACTCTGTTTTGTTTCAAGAGGGTGAACAAAGAAGGGGAAAGGAGGTGGTTGTGGAGGGGAGAGGAGTGAGGAAGTGAGGGAGGGAAGAAGGTCGATTCTACATTAGCCTGGGTGACCTCAAAGCTGTTGGGGCTGGGGAAATTTTTGGGGGTGTCTATAGAGGGGCGGGAGGAGGAAACAATTAGCTATTTAGAGGGGATAGAGAAGAGGTTGTCAGTGGAAAAGGAAAAATTGAAAGCCAGAAAAGGGGGAAGCTCTTTCAAGAAAAACGGGGAATTGCTAAGCCTTGCGTGGGGTTTGAACGAGAAGGCGGGAAAAGGGGAGGGGCAGGTGAGGGGAGGGGGAAAGAAGGGGTAGAGGAAAGTGATAGGCGGGGACATAAAGGGGGGGGGGGTGTTTCTTTCTGTGTTTTCTTAATGGAGTTAAAAATATTGTCTTGGAATGTGAGGGATTTGGGGTCAAGGAGAAGACGGATGGTGGTGTGTGATTGCCTGAAAAGATGGAGGTTGGAGGTGGTTTTCTTGCAAGAATCCAAATTGGAAGTGGTGCAAGCTGAAACAATCAGAAGTATTTGGGGAGAAGGGGAAGTTAGATGGATCTACAAACCAGCCAGAGGAAGTGCAGGAGGGCTAATTACCATGTGGGACAGATCGAGATGTAAGCTGATCAACTCCTATTGTTGTGGATTTCTCCATTTCAGTGGAATTAGAATGGGAGGGGGGAGTAAGGGGTTTGTTTACCAATGTCTATGGCCCAACTTTAAATGAAGAGAAGGAAAGACTTTGGGGGGATTTATCGGATGCAAGAGGGTCCTCCACATTCCCTTGGGTTGTTGGGGGAGACTTCAATGTAACCAGTTTTTTGGAAGACAGAAATGGGGGTAGAAACGGAGCTAGAGACAGAAGGCATTTTGCAAACTTTGTAAATCAATTTGAACTGATAGATCTCCCACTAAATGGGGCTCAATTGACATGGACAAACAACCAAGAGGAGCCTACCCTAGTAAAACTGGATAGATTTCTGGTGTCCCCGAGATGGGAAGACCTATTCCAAAACCTGAATCAGCAAGTTTTGCCAAGGCGTTTTGCAAACTTTGTAAATCAATTTGAACTGATAGATCTCCCACTAAATGGGGCTCAATTTACATGGGAAAACAACCAAGAGGAGCTTACCCTAGTAAAACTGGATAGATTTCTGGTGTCCCCGGGTGGGAAGACCTATTCCAAAACCTGATCAGCAAGCTTTGCCAAGGCCAATTTCAGACCATTCCCCTCTTCAATTGGTATGCGGTGGGCAAATCCGAAGGAAGTCTAGCTTTAAGTTGGAACTCGCATGGTTTGAGGAAGAAGACTTTGTGCCTTTTTTAAAAAACACTTGGTCGGAATTTCGGGTGGTGGGTACAAGCTCCTACATTTTAGCAAAAAATTTGGGTGCAATTAAGGAGGCTTTGAAATCTTGGAAGGCAAAAATTTGGAATAAATCTGAAAATGAAAAGAGGTGTCTGGAGGAAATTAAAGAGATTGATTCAGCAGAAGAAAGAGGTCCCATCTCAGAGGAAGAAAAGAAGAGAAGACTGTCAGCAAAATTGTTCCTAGACAAATCTGCTAATAAGGATGAACTGAAATGGAGACAAAGAGCCAAGGTGAAATGGCTCAAGGCTGGTGATAGAAATTCTAGCTTTTTTCATAAAATGGTAAAGGCTAGAAATAGGATAAACAGAATTGAAAAGCTGGGACTGGAGGGGGAGGTAGGGGAATCTTGGCAAGATAAGAAAAGAATGGTTATAAGTTTCTTTACAAAGCTCTTCAAGGAAGATTGGAAAAAAAGACCTCTTCCGGAGGGAGTTAATTTCAAAAGAATCTCGAAGGACCAACAGAGTGGTTTGGAAGCTCCTTTTTCAGAAGAGGAAGTTTGGCAGGTGATAAAGAACTTAGATTCAGAAAAGTCCCTGGGGCCGGATGGGCTCACCATTTTATTTTATAAAAGTTGTTGGGATGTGGTGAAAACAGATGTTATGCAGGTTTTCCAGGACTTTCATAGAAATGCTTCTTTGGAAAGAAGCTTAAATGCTACTTTCATATCTTTGATCCCAAAAATTGAAGGAGCCACAAATTTGAAGGATTTCAGACCTATTAGCCTCCTAAACAGCTTCTATAAGATTCTGGCCAAGGTGTTGGCAGAGGGGTTGAAAAAGGTGCTGCCGAGTGTGATCTCCCAAAACCAGTTTGCGTTTGTCCCAGGTCGCCAATTGATGGACAGTATTTTAGTAGCCAACGAATTAATTGATTCAAGGTTAAGGGAGGGAAATCCGGGTCTTCTTTGCAAACTTGACCTTGAAAAGGCTTATGATAATGTCAACTGGAGATGTTTGGACTGTGTATTGAATAAGATAAATTTTGGGCAGACTTGGAGAAACTGGATTAAAGTTTGTGTCACCTCTCCAAAGTTTTCAGCTGGTTTCTTCAAAAACTCAAAGGGTCTTAGGCAGGGAGACCCTCTCTCCCCTCTTTTGTTCATTTGTATGATGGAACTACTTACAATCTTCATTCAAAAGGTAGGGGAGGGGGGTGGTGGAAGGGCTTTGAGGTGGTGCCAGGAGGGGAGAAGGTTCAGGTTCTGCAATTCGCAGATGACACCCTTTGTTTTTTGGAAGCCAATGAAGATCACTTAGATCTTTTAGTGGGAGTTCTAAGCTGGTTCGAAGTGGTGACAGGTCTGAAAGTCAATTGGAGTAAGAGCAGTTTAGTTCCAGTGGGAAAAGTGGAAAATGTAGAGGACTTGGCAGAGAGATTAGCATGTCAGGTGGGATTCCTTCCTTCAAAATATCTGGGACTTCCCCTAGGAGCAAAATGCACTTCAGCTCTGATCTGGGAACCAGTTTTAGAGCAGCTAGAAAAGAATTTGGCATCTTGGAAAGCGAGATACTTGTCCTTGGGGGGCAGAATCACTTTGTTAAAAAGCTCCTTGTCCAACTTGCCAGCATTCTATCTCTCTTTATTCCCAATCCCAAGTAAAGTGGCCAAAAGGATTGAGAGGCTGCAAAGGAACCTTTTGTGGAAAGGGTGGGAGGAGGATAGGAAGAAAATCCACTTGGTGAGTTGGGACAAGGTGTGCTCTCTGAAAAGTAAAGGAGGGTTGGATATAATAAAAATGAGGACCTTTAATAAGGCTCTTCTTGGAAAATGGATCTGGAGGTTTGGGTTGGAAAGAAATCACTGGTGGAGGAGGTTAATGGCATCAAAATACAACACAGACAGAGGAGATTGGATTACTACTTCTTCTGCCCCATCTCTAGGCTGTGCAGTTTGGAGAAAAATAATGGACATTCTACCTATTTTAAGTAGAGGCTTAAGCCCCATTCTTGGGAAGGGTAATAGGCTGTCCTTTTGGAAAGATCCCTGGTGTGGAAATACTGCTCTTTCAGAGAGATTTCCACATCTATTCCAGATAGCTGATCATCAAGATGCAGTGGTTGCTGATTGTTTTGAGGTGGCGGGAAACTCAGTAGTCTGGTGCCCTTCTTTCAGAAGAAAATTTCAGAATTGGGAAATCCCTGCATTGGCTGAACTATTAGATCTGCTCTCTTTTCAACCCTTAAACCTGCTCAGAGAAGGCCATCTGGATTCCAGATGGCCTTTTTTCAGTCAAGTCATTTGCCAATCACATAACACTGAGTACTGCTGAAGATATGCCTGCTTCTAAAATCTGGAATCCAGCCGCTCCCTCAAAAATCAATGCCCTAGTGTGGGCTACAGCTCTAGCAGGTGTTTAACTAAAGTACACCTATGTAAAAGAGGGTTTCTTGTCCAGGACCAGAGGTGTGTGTTATGTGGTCAAGGAGTGGAAGATAGCAGCCATCTGTTTCTACATTGCTCAATTTCTGGTAGATTATGGAATCATTTTCTTAGTTCGGTGGGTCTTGCCTGGTCAATGCCAGCTTCGGTGAAGGAGATGTTGTGGAGCTGGGGGTTTAATGGGTTTGCCAAAGCTTGCTTCAGCTGTGTGGATGATCCATTCCGGCTGCATTAATCATCACTATTTGGGCAGAAAGGAACAAAAGACTATTTCAGAATATCTATAAGGAACTGGTAGATCTGATTTCTATCTCTGTTGGAAAGCTGATTTCTTGGATTTCAGTCTCGAAGGGTATCCAGGCTGCTGAATTGGGGGCTAGACTGAATTCTAGGAGCTTATGGAATTTGTAATGTTGTTATGTAGGGGTTTTTTCTCCATCTAAGTGTTTAGTTGGGGGGCCTTTGTACTTTGTTCAAGTTTTTTCTATCAATAAAGTTTACATTACCTTTTCTCAAAAAAAATGTGGATTTGATAGATTAAAAATCATTTTTTGATATAAATGTGGATTTGATAGATCATTTATTCCTTTAGTTTATAAAATATCAATTTTGAATATTATTCTTTTTAATTTTTAGTTAGAGTTGTTGAACATAAAAATATATATTTGTTTGGATTGCATGTGGACACAAAAGTTAAGGGATACACCCTTGTTTGTAGCATATCACATATCATCATGCACCAATACCTATACGGTATGCCCTGTATTGAGTGTATCATATGGATATTTCTATCCTCGTTTAGATCCTTTGTTAGAAGGGCTATACATCCCAACTGGAAGTAAAAAAACATGGCAAACAACCAAATGCTTTCACCCAAAACTAACCCCTGAACAACTATCACGAACAACAAATAGAAAACCAGATCTCTGAGGCTGCAGTCACATAAATATGATGGATAATCTCCAATATTATCCTAGCAATCATCATATAAAGTACAATCATGCAATTCAGACCAAGAGCTCATAATTTAACAATGGATATGTCACTAAATAGGGTGGAACGGCGAAACAAGATTCTTGTAGCTGACTCCATATAGTTAGGATAAGGCTTAGATGAAGATGATAACGATGCAATTCGGATCCACCCTATGTTCCCTACCCACCAATCCCACCACATCTTTCCATTACACCACAAATTTTAATCTTTTTCTATATTTTTTACTTTGATTAGTCATGATGAGTTTTGATGTGATGATGCCCTTAATCTGTTTTTCCCTTGCATTATTCAGGGACCAAGCTAAGTGAGGACTGTTGCAAATATGGAAGTGAAAATAGCCATGACAACATTCTAGCCAAGGCTGCATCTCTCTATGGTGAGGCTCGTGTTCATATCGAAAAAGAGCAAGAAGACTTGAATAAGCTGTTAGGCTCACAGGTCGGTTGTTTTTTTTATGTTACTGCTTTGTTAATTTCATTATATGGTATAAGTACATGCTAGCATCTATTATCTGTCTTGAAAGATACACACTATTAACTTATTCCAGAGAATTAAGACTTTAAGAGGATCTATTTGATTCTCCAAGACTTTGAACTTCTAAGAATTTATGGAGGTCAATCAATCAGATTTTGGGGCCAGCTTTTGGGAGACCATTGAAAGTTCAAATATTATATGCTAAATATTTATAGTTGATTTGTATTCAGGTGCTATCTCCTTACCCTTGTCTAGAAGTGTATCTTCTCTTTTTTCTATGAATAAGATTTTTATTCTACTATCCACAAAAAAGAAATCCTAAGAATTTGTGTGTTTTTTATCTGTCATTTATATTGCAACTTCCAGTTCAATTTTTTTTTTTCTAATTGATGTTTTTTCATTCTAGTTAGAAAAAAAAAAGAAAAACAGAAATTGTCAACTCCAACATTAAGTCATAGGCTGGATTTTGATATACAATACAGGTGTATGTCAAATTAATTCCGTTCCCGCTCAAGGGGCCATTTGGTAATTGATGAAGTAGCTAAATGAATGACTTATTGTTTTGTCTTTATGTGAATAAAATAAACAAATAATAAAATATTCAACTGTATAATAATCAGCCCAGCTTCAATTACACAAAAAGACATAACAATAAGCAATTCAATTCATCTAGTTCAGCTGTTATCAAGTGGCTCACTGGATCTTATATCGCAAGTCAGTGTGGTATTTGCTTGATGTTTGTAGTTTTGACAATTGGAATGGAATGAAGTTATGGGTAAGAAAAATGAAAAACAAATAAGAGGTGTTTGAAAGATGAAAAAGGCCTGAAGCTGCTTCAACTTGAAGTTACACAAAAGGGTATATGACAAACTGTGTGACCAGTTTGTGGTTAGTCTAAGACTTGAGAACCTGTTGGAGAACTTTGTGGTTACTCTAAGCTCTAAAGAGTTGAAAATAGGTTATGTGGCATCTGTTTCGCTCACTTGTCCGTTTCAACCTCAGACAGTGATGGTCAATCAATCACTCATACAGTTGCTCATCAAATTCATACTTTTGCCTCACAGTCATATGATATGATGATGTGTTCTTTAATTACAATTTACAGTCTGTTTAAGCTTTCCAGCCATTTAATTTGTTCATTAATAAAAATGTCGTTTAAAATGTTCTATGAAGCAGAACATGAATGATAACTTACTATATTTGATGATCATGTTCTGTTTCTATTGAGTGGTTATCAAATTGCACACTTGGGTTTCCTTCTTTTTTTTCGTTGATTTTATTTCATTTACCTCCTTTTTTTGGGGGGGGCGGGGTGGAGGGTGGTTTGGAATAGAGGACGAATATCCATGCACTATTATAAATGATCTACCATTACCAATGTTCAGCATAATGTTATTACTTTCTTTGTACACATCTCTACTATCTGAAATCATCAAGACAGTTGATTTGGGTTAGTTTTTTTAATGATATTTAAAAGATCATTAGGGTCATTGAAATTCAATGTTTTTATATTTAGTTTATTTTGCAAGCTCTCAGTGTCACTAATTTACATTGAACACCCTTCTATAATAATTAGGTATTAACCTATTTCCATTTGAATTTTCTTAGTCACTATTGTGCAGTTCTTAGTAGTTTATAATGCACAATTTCAATTATATTTATACATATCTATATGTTTCCAGATTTTGGAACCCTTGAGAGCAATGAGCATTGGTGCCCCTCTAGAAGATGCTCGCCATCTTGCTCAACGATATAGTCGAATGAGACATGAAGCAGAGATGCAGGTAACCAGACAATTGGGCTCTCCACAACAATACTATCATTAGGTGCTATATGTTTGAACCCTTTAAACGTTCTATTCTATGTGTTAGGCTTGTCATTATTTTATCTTTTTTAATTGATCATACAGGCAGCAGAAATTTCTAGAAGGCAAGCAAAAGTAAGGGAAGTTCCTAGTATTGAGAACAATGCAAAGCTACATGCAGCTGAATCTAAAATGCAGGAACTGAAGGCAAACATGGCAGTTTTGGGCAAAGAAGCAGCAGCTGCATTAGCTGCAGTTGAAGCACAACAGCAAAGGCTGACATTCCAGAGGCTTGTAGCAATGGTATGCATTTTACAAAGAATTGTTCTGTGATCTCTGTTATTACTAGAACCATAAAGGATTTGGGTGGGTGTACATGGTTGATTATGGTGCTTTGAAGGTTGAAGGAGAAAGGACTTATCATCAGAGAGTAGCTGCAATCCTAAATGAGATTGAAGCTGAGGTGATTTCTGCCTTTTTTTTTTCTATCAAGAGAACTATCTTTGTGTGTTGCAATTGAAACTCATATCATGGAATCTGCTGCTGGTAGATGGTCTCAGAGAAACAGCGGAAAGAATCTGCCCCTCCTGAAATTTCATCAGGTGGACGTTCGGAGAAGACAACGTACTTCCTAGCAGAAGTATATTCCAAATATCCCAAAATTCTAGATATAAATTTATTACCTTGAATGTTGGAAAACTCACATGTTGTTTATTTGTTGCAGGCAGTGCATGCTTTTAATGCTTCATCAGAGAAGGAGCTGAGCTTGGCAGTGGGTGACTATGTTGTTGTCCGGAAGGTTATCTTGTCCCCCTTCATCTGGTCATGTTTTGAATTTCCTTTAATCTTAAATTAATCCAGGAAACTATTCCATGGGTGGAAGTAACAAGACATGAATTAAGCATCCTTAGTTAATGATGGATATGGCACTGAACAGAACAGAATGGCAAAACAGGATTCATGTAGGAAAACCCATATAGTTGGTACAAGGCTTAGATGATTATGATGATGATGATTCCTTGGAAAATCAGATCTTTGTATCTGATAAATTTCACTTGTTTTTTTTTTGGTTGGTATAAATTTTCACTTGGTCAATATACTTTAACTATGTTTTGTTGATTCAGGTATCTCCATCAGGCTGGTCAGAAGGAGAATGCAGAGGTAAATCAGGATGGTTTCCAACAGCATATGTGGAAAAACGCCAAAGGATTCCCACCAACAAGGTGGCTGCTGAAGTCTTTTAGTCTTCCTGTGTGAAATATTCAATTAGTTTATTTTGGTAAATAAATGTCAATTAGTTGGAACCTTAATTTTTATGAAGAGAAAGCTTCCAGACAGCTTGATCGTTACAGGACAATATGATTACTTAATATAGTTTCTGTGCAGGATGCCATTTATTCTTTTATTAGTTTGTTCATCTCTCTCTCATAGAATTATTCTTGAAGGCTACATGAAAATCAACCATTTCTGAGTCTTAAATAGAAATTCGACAAATTTCTCTTCTCCTTGCAGCCTTGACCCTCTCTCCATAACCATCCATAGCTTAGTCACATATGCCTCACCACCTCTCACTTACAAACCATTTATCTCCAATAAAGAAGGTTCTAAACATAAAAAGCAAAGTATTAAATAAAATTTCAAAGAAAAATATATAGTATTCATATTAGTTTGTTCATCTAAAATTTCAAAAGAATATTGTGTGTAATAAAAAGGAAATTAGCTGCAGGGAATGCGTTTTACTCATAAAATTTTTGATCATTGAATACTGTGTATGAACTATTTCTATCTATCAACAACCATAATAGATTGTGAATCTATTTTTGATAAACATAATAGCTTGTGAATATGTGGAATCAAATACAATGGGAAGTAACAGTGCGAACATTTTATTCCATGTATTTCCTCAAACCACCCCTTTCGTAACTTATTGGTCATTGCTTGGAATGATGATGTCGAAGTCGCTGACAGTCCACTCTGCAACTTCGTTATCACTAATGTATATCTCAGTTCCGAGATCAATTGATGGCCGATGTCTCTCTACTGGCTTAGTACCTGGATCCTGTAAAACCAATTCAAGAAGAGATATGTTATATGATACTAACAGGTCATGAATGAAGACATTAAAGTAGTAAAACCAGAAGCTCAGACCTGGTAAAAGTAAAGTGCCTGAGACAATCTTCCCACGTCCAGCTCCCAAGTTCTGGCATCTCCAATCCAACCCTCTCCTTTCTTTGTGGGGTACCCATAATCTCCCCAGGCTCGGTGTGGCAATATCTGCAATATCTCCTGAGGTTGAGGATTGCTGTATGCATCACATAAGTTGTATGGTTCCTCTAGATGTTCTGCATTCCCAGGAGCACAATACATATGGTAAGCCTCATAAGGGTAGTTTGCTGTGTCTGTGCGATGGATTCGAGTTCCATTAGGGAGGGTATGATAAGGGGGGCATGACTGAAGGCTATCAGGTTTGCACCATGACTCTGTGCTTGGGTTGATGATCATCTCACTGTATCTGGTGACATCACTAGTGATATCTCCATCACAAGGCTGACCATTGTTCTTCCAGCAGCTTCCCATGTCCATCAGATAGAATTGGCTCCTTGGGCCTCCTCCTTTCTTTATGTCCAGTGTGAACCTCACTTTGAAATTGGGTGATTTTGGAATCTGTAATCATTTAATATACATGTTCTTAGAAAGTAGTGAAAGCTTAATTTGAACTAGAATCATCAATCCAATGAAGTGCTTTTGCTCAATTTGTATGCCTATTTCCTAAATAAGTATGTTATTTATCATTCAATGGACAAGAAAAATAAGAAGTAGAGCTTACAATCTTTGACATTCCTCTTGTTTGGTAATGATATCCCCCAGATAATCCTTTAGTAGCATCTGACCTTAAGTAAAGCATTAGCCATGGATACTTGTGTGAAGTCTGCAACACATTATGGAAGACCCAACTTCCTTTCCCAACTTCCTTTTCCCATGTCACAGAGTAGTAAGAGGTGTTAACAACAGGCCCTTTTGTAACATCAGCATCCAAGTCCCATGTGCCATACAAACTTCCCCTTAGTGTAGTAGCAGCTCCATCTGATCCCTGTTGCAAACTGGTATAGTTGTGGAAAACGTAGGGTATGTTCATGCACCCTTTGCCAAAGCATGGGAACCTTGACTCCTGTGGAAATGGTTTGGACTTTTTTCCATTCTCTGGGCACATAGCAGCTAAAGTGTCCATGTTGCCACTCTTGAGCATGAGCATCCAAAATTGCCATGGCCCTGGTTCATCTTCCACCTGGCATTTGTTGCCCAAGTATATCTCTTTTAGGGCAGCCAAACGGTCTACATTGTGGATGCGCCGGCCGATGTAGGAGTTTACTTCACCAAGCTTGTTCTCTTTCTCGTGAACCTGGTGGATTAATCTTACTTCAAAATAAGAGAAGGCAAATTGGAGTACGAAAAGAATCATTTGGTATTGGGGGNGGGGGAGGTTGATGCTAACCCTATAACCAGCTACCAGCTGTGGAATTTGTTATCGCCCTATAACCAGCCCTTGGTTACTCGGTCTAAGCTTTCAATTTACTAAGACACCCTAAATATGATGATAAAGTATTATAACTAAACACCTAAAAAAAGAAATCGATACACATAGAACATTAATTCATTTGCCATTACAAATAAATATAATAACTACTAAATAATATATTAAGTGTTCTATTGAAATCCAAAAATTCATGGCAACCTAATCTTGCCATATAATGGCTACATATATAGTCTTAATTTCAAAAATATATTAGACCCATATGAGAACGGAAGAAGAAGAAGAAGATCCATCAATAACTAAGCGACAGATCATATATAATCAGCTAATAAGGTGGTTTTTGGGACCAATGCCGATTTATCAAAAATCGGTAAATCAATCAGAAATTAATTATTAATAAAATTGGGTTGAAAATAGGAATCGCTATTTTCTTTCCTCTTTTCATGAAGTTCTGATTTTTTTTCAATGGTGTGGCAGCTCACGTGGATACGGGAGATAATTTACATTAAAGGAAAATCACTGGCTAATAATCACTATCAAACAAACACATAGCCGGCTGGCATGGCAGCAATGGTACCAAACAAACAATTTCTTTGAATTTTCTCAGTGATCTTAGAAATCAGTGATTTATGAGAAATCTCATCAGATTTCACAAAGAGAACTGAATAATGGATAAAAAAAAAAAGAAGAATGAAATTTCTCAAAGGAAGAAAGAAAGACTAACGTGGGACTGAAGAATTGTCTATGTCGAAGCAATCAGCCACTCTGGGACTTCCCATAAAGGGAGCTTCATATCCAACCTCATTGCATTGATTCCAAGCTTCAATGGCCACTCTCAGCCCGTCTCTTCTCATCCCAGGATCTCCCACTGCTGATACATAATTCTGAGCGGAAGCAAAGCCCGATATGTCGCAGAGAAAGAGAAGAGCTAACAGAAAGAGAGTGTGGAGCTCCATTAACGTGAACTTCTGCGTTACAGCAATGAAGCAATCGACCAGAGAATGAAGAATATATATTTGTGTCCATGTTAAGATAAGAGCAAGTCTTGTCCTCACCTGTATTCCAGCTAACAATCGAACTCTAAAGGTTTATCTCTTCTTATCGTTTGTATAGTTTAAATGTATTCGAACTCAACGTAACGTTGTAGAAGTTCATACAAATACAACCACTGAAACTCACCGAATTCACCTGGTGAGATTATCACAAATCTCTCTCTGTCTCTCTCTCTGATTCGAGGTTTTTCCCATTGACGTGGACGGCAGCAACTCTTCGTCTGTACCTTTCGGACTGAATTTTGCACCAGTTATTGCTGTCAAAGTGGATGGACTGAACTATCACGGAGGTCGCAATTTCCTCCTCTTCTGAGAGGTAGAAAGCTGATGGGCTACCGAGACCCACCTAGATTCATTGGTTCCTCCTCAGGTAACAATAGTTCAACTTCTTCTTCTGCAACTGAAAACCCAGAGTACACCTCTTACCGTTGTTGTTTAGACCAACTGTAGAAAGCTGTAACACTACATATGAACTCTGGACGAGGACGAAGCTAGAAACTCTTTATGAGTTCCTGCTGTTTCCTGAAGTGTAAAATAATTGCTGATAAGCTTGATGTGACTGGACTGGGCATCCTGATTCTGAACTGTTTCCTGACTGGGAAGCATTTAACGTGCTGGTTCCCTCACTTTTCATACGTGTATTTGGTCCAATCCGATCCAGTACAATGTGAGTCCATTATAAATGAACCAGATCCAATCCAATCCAATGGATGTTTTGGACCAATTTGGATCAGTCCAATTCAATATTTGGATCGTTCAATTTATTCAAATTCAGTTTGATTTAAATTGATTTTAATCCAAATCCGGTCCATTGACACATTCTTATCTTGTATCAATGGACCATGAGTTTAAGAGGCAGTTTTAAAATCGTCAGTGGTAACAATCTATTGTGTTCAATTATGCGTTCATGAATTCTTCGACTATATAGGGACTAGGGAATCGGTAAATTACAACTGTAGGCTGTATATGGGCCTATCTATAATGACATTTATCAATGTCTTCAATTCATCCGCTCTGGCTCGCTCGCCTCCACTTCTATAACACTCTCTTTCAACTAGTGTTATTCATCTTTGTTCTTTTTAATATAAAATATTTTTATTAAAATCCTTGTGTTTGGGAGGATTATGCCTCTTACGTTTTGAACTACACCTCACACCTCTAGGTAGTGGAACGCCTCACACCATGTTTCCGCATTTTAAAACATTGATTGAAAGTGGCACCTAAGAGCCTATTGAGGGGTTATGAGTCCATTATATCATCTCACTTGAATGACTAGATAGTTAGGGTCATGATAGATTGCAACTTTAACTTATTTTGTTTGGATTTTTCTTTTCTTTTTTTGATTTTTTTTAGCATTCATCAGGAGATTTTTTCAAGACTAAACCTTTTTTCTCATGACCATGTTGCTTGTAGTTTGGATGGAGGTTGGTGAGTATTCCTCGAAAGGACCATGAGGAAGGTGAAATGGGTAAAAAGGAAAATATTTTTGGATTTTTTTTGTTTTTCTTTTATTTTTTTTTTAAATTGAGGTTTTAGAAAAGAAAGGCTAGGTCCAAAGTGGCTTGTAGGGGATTAAGATGTGATTATGGGTGGCTCAACGTAAGTGTTGGGCTAAAGATGGCCTCCCCTTTTGTTGATCCTTCAGGGCTTTCGTTGCCCCTTACCTAAGACATAGGAGGTTAACTCAAAGAATCCTTGTCTCACTTAAATTTATTTTTTTGGATTTTTTATGTTGCTAAAGAAATTGAGAATGTGAGTATCTACTTTAGGAAAGAGTTTAGGGGTCAAATTTCAAGGTTCATGAAGGAAGGGCTTAGGTCCATTCATGGGTTGCAAATGGTGAATGTGTAAACATAGGTGGCTCAATAGGGTAACAATCGGCCAAAGGTGGCTTGTCTTTTGGTGAACCTTAATCAACTAGTCTTAGATGATTTGGGAAGGAATGTAATGGACATTTTCTATTTTTTTCTTTTATTTATTTTATTTTATTTTTTCTAGGCACTTTGAGCTTAGGAAGTCCATTTATACCTGAATTGATGACACGCTTGGCACTTGCTGGATATGGCTCTATTGAGATGTCATGCTGAGGAGTTGCACTAAGAGTTGATAGGCTGACTTGTCATGTTGAGGATATCACGATGTTGATCTATCATTCTGATTGGATGTCTTGGCATGATGCGGATCAAGGTGCCTTGTCATGCTAGTGACTTGCCATCTTGTGGATTAGACTGATCATTAATGATATGCCAAGTGTTGATCAGATGATGAGTGTGTTAATGGTGATCGATGATGATGCGCTTTTGTTCTTGCTATGATTCCAACTTTCCATGGTAGAGAATCGTAGACTCCAACATTTCTAGGATCCATTTGATTTTTAGTGTGTAGTTAGCTTCACATGGCAATAGGTTGAATCCTTCTCAATGTGCTTTAGTGCCAATGCATTCCTTTGTTTGAACCTTTCTTCTCAAGACAATGAAATCCTAAATTTTTTTTTTGAAAATAAATGCATGAATAAAAACTCCTTTTGGATTTTTGAAGTTTTTGCTTTTTTTTTTTTGTTTTTGAGGATTTCTTTTAATTCTTTTGGATTTTGAAAATTTTTTATTTTTTATTTTTTGCATTATGAAACTTTTTTATTTTTATTTTTTTTGTTTTTAAGAAAACATTTGATTTTTTTGTTTTCGTTTTAAAAAACAAACTAATGCTAAGAAAAGCTATCCCTTTTCTAAAGATGGTAATCGCCTGGATCGAAGATTAAAATAAAGAACCCCAAAGGGGGTGTTTAAGTAAATTTAAATACTTGAAATCAAGAAAATAGTCTCTTGTATTGAAGATAAATGTACTTGGAGGAATAGTTGGCTCATTACACCCAATGAGGGATCCATATTGACTTAAGTGCATAGGGAATAAATAAATGCAAAAACAATATGAAAAATGAAACTTGCTGACTAGGCCATGTAAGGGAGTAAAGGTAAAAATGAGAAACAACCACTAGAAAAAAAGGATCATGCATGATTTTGTATTTTGCTTGATTGAGAATGTTGAAAGTTTTGTATTGTGTGAAGTCAATTGAATTGAGTTATGATATCCTTTTTGGTTGAAAGTGTCTCCATCTTGCAAAAAGTGTGAAAGCTCCATATTAGGCCTAAGTCAATAATGGATCCTCGGTTGGACCGCTTCACACAGGAACAAAGAGAATCTTGCTTGAAGTTCTGATATAAATGAAAGCTGTGTAGCCCTAGATTTGGGCCTAATCCAAGGATGGGTTGAGAATTAGCCCATGGTGATTCAAGTAGTTGTAAAAGATTGTTAGGCCCCATGGTTGGCCCAAGGCCAAATGTGGGCTTAAAACCAGCCCATGGTGGATCTAGTGAACCAAGTAGCTGTGAAAAATTGTGAGGCCTTAAACTTAGGCTGAAGTCAAATATGGGCTCAAGACTAGACCATGGTGGATTGGGTGAATTGAGTGATGTAACAAATTATGAAGCCCTTGGCTCAATCCAAAGTCAAATGTGGGCTTAAGACTAGCCTATGGCACATCAATGTTTAGTGACCAATTACCAAGGGATGTGTTAGGAGGCAAACAACCTTGCTTAGGTAGTTGTTATGAGTTTTGAGGCCTTAGACTTGGTCCTTGATCAAGGATGAACTTAGGAGTCACCCATGGTGGGTCAGGAGGGTCGAGAGGCATACCTTGTTGGAGATCCAAGATTTCTACCATGACGTTCGAATAAATAACAACAACTGAATCAATCTATCCTAGGAGAAATGTGATTTGCTTAATTTCTTGTAGAAGATAAAGGGTCATTTCTTCTGCATCTAAGTCATAGATGGGCTCGAGATTGGACCGATCCAAGTTATAGTTAGCCTGTTCTGCATCCTAACGGGTTTCTCATTGCATCTCTGGACTTGAGTTGAAAGTTACTCTCAAGTTGGGCCAATTAAGATAATGGCTAACCTGCTCTTGATGTTGCTTGCCTTCTAGTTCTATGCAAATGATGGGGTCCACATCAACCTAGTTTGTGTCTTGTTTGACAATCCTTATGGCATGCCAGACTTATAATTCAATAATGGGGTTAGGCTTTAGATTTGTTTGTTGAGGCTCTTATTTTACTTGCCTTGTGTCATGCCAATATTATGTGTGTGTGTTTGAGATGAGCTCTAGGTCATCTTGCTTAGGCCCTAACTTTTCCTTCACCATGCCAGCCTTCTGATTTAGTGATAGTGTCCTAATCGACTCAGTTTGAGTCTTGCTCTAGTTGCATTGTAGTATACCAGATTTCTATGTCTTGATCTTTATTAACTTGCTTCATACCATTCCAACCTTCGATACCAAATTCAGAGATGGGCTACTGAGATTCCAAGGCAGAACATTGCCCCTGGTCTAGACCTATACTAGGGGTTTTCTTGCCTCGAGTTTACGAGAATCACTTTAATTGATGCAATAAAAACTTGTTTTAAGTCTAGTTGGTCGGTTTGCACATTATGCTCTTCTTTTTGAACCAATTCGTTGATGTGTATATGCTTTATGGGCTTGATGAACTAAGTTGGATCAAAGGGTTGTTCTTCTTCAATTTTCTACTGCATCATAGTGATAATGTGTGTTGCCATTTTGGGGGGTTCCTTTCCTGACCTCTGAGTCGACTTGATGAGTTGGGTCAAATCAAAAGCCTCATCTTCCTCGGCTTCTAATACGACTTCCACTAATTGAATTGGCCTGATGTACTTGGTGGGATCAAACGGTTAGCTCTTTTGTTGCATGGTGCTGACCTAATGATTTGGTAGGGTTTGTTGCTCTTTTGCTAGGCTTTGAGGATTGGATGATCTTAATGTTATCAGATATGGATTTTTGGGCTCTACGTGCCTATAGTCTCAAATTTTTGATTTGATGTGAGATGAGGTTCAAGATCAAAATGACCTCAATCGGATGATCGGAATCAATTCCGGCTTCAGGTCTTAAGATGAAGGGGTAAACAGTGTCAGGTTTGGGTGATATTGGTGTCATCAAATTTGGATTTTTGGGCTCTAGGTATTTGACGTGAGATGAGGTTTAGGATCAAAATGACCCCGATCGGATGATTGGAATCGGTTCTACCTTCGGGTCTTAAGATGAAGGGGTAAATGGTGTCAGGTTCAGGTGATCGTTGTATCGTCAGATTTGGATTTTTGGGCTTTATATACCTATGGTCCCAGATTTATGATTTGACATGAGATGAGGTGTCAAATTTGGGTGATCTTGGTGTTTTTGGATTTGGATTTTTGGGCTCTACGTACCTATGGTCTCAGATTTTTTATTTGACGTAAGATGAGGTTCAGGATCAAAATGACCCCAATAAGACGATCTGAATCGGTTTTGGCTTCGAGTCTTAAGATGAAGTGGTAAACGATGTTGGATTTGGGTGATGTTG